GTATTTATTTTGGTTTGGGAAGAATAACAATGATCAATATATTACGAAGGTAATCTCTATGTATCACCCAGGATTTCGCATACAGCCCCTATGACAGCCCCGTTTCTATATTTCCCAATGAAGCAGTCCGAAAGGATAATACTTAGTGAACTTAGTGGTATTCCTAATTTTTAACATGCTATTTAAGGGCATTTTTTTCCCTTTGATTTTCGAAACGGTGGCAGCTTAGCAGATAATGGTCGATATTTTTCAGCTAGGAAACAGAGAGGATGGCACCATATCAGACCTATTAAAAACTAATTGATGGAATTCGTCATCGTAGTTTAGTAGTGGGTAACCCCAATTTACGTGTGGGGCACCGCATATTATCCGATGGGAAATGAAAATTCGAAAATTATGGATCGAGAATTTTATGACAGTATGCTACCAGCGTGTGGACATTCGGACAAAGAGGACGACACAAGTTGGGCAGGCGGGACGTTTCATTAAGCAGAGATTATTGGAACACAAGAGATCGCTAACCAGAGGCTGGCCTTCTAATCTTTCTTTACGTTGTCGAGGATGTAAGGACGCGTCAATGTTCGATGAATGCGAAGCTTAATTTGTGCTAACATAGGAAGGGAAAAACGCGTCTGATGATTGAGTCACGTCATTTTGATAACAGTCGTAGAGCATGCATGAGCACACCTTCAATTAACTTGCATAAAGACTAAATCAAATACCTTCCTGTGTGCTCAGATTTGTGTGCACGTTAAAGAACCCCAGGTGGTCGAAATTTCCGGAGCCCTCCACTACGGCGTCTCTCATAATCATATGGAGGTTTTGGGACGTTAAACCCCACATATAAATCAATCAGTCAAATCAAATACCTTAGCAGTTATCTTTCACTACATTGTCTAGAAATATGTTGGTGATCCATGGTGATGTTGGGCCAAGAAACTTGTTGGCCACATGTTGGTGATCCTTTGTATGCAGTGTCTCGCGGAAAGGCTCCTCACAAAGCAGCATGACAGGCCAAGAAACTTGTTGGTGATCCATGGTGATGTTGGGCCAAGAAACTTGTTGGCCACATGTTGGTGATCCTTTGTATGCAGTGTCTCGCGGAAAGGCTCCTCACAAAGCAGCATGACGGGCCAAGAAACTTGTTGGTGATCCATGGTGATGTTGGGCCAAGAAACTTGTTGGCCACATGTTGGTGATCCTTTGTATGCAGTGTCTCGCGGAAGTGCATTCAGCAGTGCGCCATATTTTTTGTTTTTTTTCTTTTATGACGTCACATGAACTGAATAATAGTGATTAGGTCATTATACAAATACTTGGGGAGCTTTAACTCCTTCACGCAAGTCACTTCTGCCAAAATAATAATAATAATAATAATAATAATAATAATAATAATAATAATAATAATAATAACTTTGGCACTTGTGAGTGCCGCAGTGTTTCAGTTGGCTCATAGAAAGGGCCGGACCTCGTTTGCCCCCCCCCCCCCCCTCCACGACTTTCTGGTACTGCGTCCTGGTACCGAGTATCCGCCACCATTTTCAGCTTTTGCAATGCCGTGGACTCCTTGGGCTTCTTCGTTGGTTGGCGAGGTTGTGAGGGGGTGGATCATGTGCACGTCTCTATCTAAGCCATGCTTGCGTGCTTGTTCGTTACTTATATCTGGCTTGTACCCAGTACGGAGGATTATCCAAGAAGCCAACAATAAATATAAATGCGAACACCAGGTAAAAGAGAGGGGAAAATCAATTTTTCGTTATAGAATATAGTCATTTTCGTGATACAGACAATTAATAAATAATGAAATAAATGTTATTTAATTAATAAAACGCGATAGTTCTAATGCATAATTATTTTTTCTTGGAAAAATTATGGCTTATAGATGATACAAATGGTATTTATTTTGGTTTGGGAAGAATAAAAATGATCAATATACTAGGAAGGTAATCTCTATGTATCACCCAGGATTTCGCACACAGCGCCTATGACAGCCCCGTTTCTATATTTCCCAATGAATCAGACCGAAAGGATAATACTTAGAGAACTTAGTGGTATTCCTAAATTTTAAAATGCTATTTAATGACATTTTTTTCCTTTAATTTTCGAAACGGTGACAACTTAGCAGATAATGGTGGACATTTTTCAGCTAGGAAACAGAGGGGATGGCACCAGATCAGACCTATTAAAAACTAATCGATGGAATTCGTCATCGTAGTTTAGTAGTGGGTAACCCCAATTTACGTGTGGCGAACCGCATATTATCCGATGGGAAATGAAAATTCGAAAATTCTGGATTGAGAATTTTATGACAGTATGCTACCTGCGTGAGGACATTCGGACAAAGAGGACGACACAAGTTGGGCAGGTGGGACGTTTCATTAACCACAGATTATTGGAACACAAGAGATCGCTAACCAGAGGCTGGCCTTTTAATCTTTCTTTACATTGTTGAGGATGTAAGGACGCGTCAATGTTCGATGAATGCGAAGCTTAATTTGTGCTGACATGGGATGGAAAAAAACGCGTCTGACGATTGAGTCATGTCATTTTGATAACAGTGGTAGAGCATGCGTGAGCCAACCTTCGATTAACTTGCATAAAAACAATCAAATACCTTAGCAGTTATCTTTCACTACATTGTCTAGAAATAAACTGCCTAGTGTGCTGAGCGCGGGCTGATGGCCCCGCAGCTGATGACTGCCGGCAGCGCCCGCATGGTGCGCTGCTGTGCGAGTGGGTGCATTTGCGTTCAGTCCTTGCGCTCCGCATGCGCTGCGAAGCCTGCAGGAGGCCGAGCCGCGCGAGGCCAACTATTATTTTCCTGCATTTTCGGAGTTTTTTTTTTACATAATGCTTTCTTGTATAAGAACTACTCGATTGCTTTCGCGGTACTAACGCTTTACCATACCAAATGAAGATCATTTCGTGGCATACATCTCGCCATCAGCTACTGCCCTAAAAAAAACAAAAAAAAAAGACGGAGATCCCACGTAAATTGGGAATCAATGCTACGCAAGGTGACTCTGTTGTAATTTTTTATTAAGTGAAACATTATGAACTGGCGCTAAATATATGCAAGAAATCGGATAGTCAACACTGAAACCAGTATTGGCGTTTCATGAACATTTGGCTCTTTTTGCAAATTATTTCGAAGACCCTAAGTTAAGGGGGTGATTGTTAGGGCACTCAGACGTAGGCGATTCGATAGAAAAATAAATAGATAGAAAGATAGATAGATGGGTAGATAGATAGATAGATAGATAGATATCAGAAAGACAGACGGACGGACAGACGGACGGACAGACGGACGAACAGACACAGATTGACAGACGGACGGACAGACGGATGGACAGACAGGCAGACGGATATCTATCTATCTATTTATCTATCCACAGACGGGTGGATAGATAAATAGATAGATAGATAGTACAGTGTACTAGAATAGTAGATAGATAGATAGATAGATAGATAGATAGATAGATAGATAGATAGATAGATAGATAGATAGATAGATAGATAGATAGATGCTTAAAGTGGTAGCAGGATGCAAAGAAATTAATTTTAAAAACCATTGATAGTATAACCACCAGAGTTATTTTTTAAAATGTGCTTTGTTTTTGAGGGCAAGAATTATCACAGAAAACCCTAAAACCTTTACTCTTAGCCTGCATTTCATTAAGATTCGAGTGAAAACAAAGAATGATAACATGCCAATGAATAATCTGACACTCGCCGCATATGATACTCAAAACGTTGTTAGAAAGGGAGTCCGACGTTGACATGCGAGAAAAACTGCGTGAATGAAATTCGAAAGGGTATTCTCAATTTTTTAGATAAATAATAATGTTTGAAATTTTGCCTAAACGGCGATTTCATTCCCGACACCGTTCACCCTAATCCGAAAAGATAGTTCGATGTAGTCACTCTCAGAATGCTTTTCTCACACGACAGCCTTCTAATTCAGCCTTTTGTCTGCCCTCTTGATCCTACTTTTTCATTCAGGAAACCGTGCTGGATCCGTTAGTGCGGGGAACAAGACACCTTTTCCTCGTTCGACCGATAACTTCTTTGACACAGCGGCACAATACACGTCCTTTCTTTGCATTGCCGCTTAGCTCTTAACATCTCAGGGTGTTGCAGTGTACCGTCGAACTTCACAGTATATCAGATGGCAGCTCTCACACACTGATTTTAAACCTGGCGAGGCTCCGGCAGCAACAGGATGAGAGGAGTTTCGCGCGTTCGTGCACCCTCTCGACACGCAGCGCCGCTTGTGGCATCTGAGTGCAGTCACCACATGCGCGGCCACCATCTCTCGTACGGAATGCGCGCGCTCAGCACACTAAACCAACTATTCTAGTAACGTTGCACTAAACAGCACCTTTCCTTCCTCCGTGCTAGGCAGTATATTTCTAGACACTGTACTTTCACGTAGACCCCCACGTGCGCCAGATTGATAGGTTCCCATATATTGCATGGGCATGCGCACATAAGTTTTCGCGGCTTCTTTCACAGAAATGAATGCCGACTATTTATTCGAACGATCCCACACGGCAGGGGCGGTTCTAGGATTGTTTTACTGGGGGGGGGGGGGGGGGGGAGGCACCCACAAGAAGTGCGTTGCTTGGGTGGTGCAGCGAGGCTGGGAACATATGCATTGTGTTTTTTACGATGCTTGATTTTTTTGAGGGAGGGGCGGGCAAAAATTTTCTGCTAGACTCTACTGCCTGTACGCATTTTTCGTCACGCAACACAACGGCCATCAATAACATACACATTCGGCCTCATAATTGAAACCGAAACTAATTAAAAAACTTTATAAAGCGTTGTTACAACAAGCCTTTTATTTTCGAAATTTCTATAATTTATTAATTTGCTAGTCAATAAAGTAGCGCATGAAATGATTACAGCGTTTTAAACAACATAAATATACTTTTGTGATCTTGTTACTAGCGCCCTTTCATTGTACAGCTTTAGTCATTTTTTTAGGGCAATGCCAAGTCGGCCCGAATATGTCTTATGGTTTGTAGTGTTGTTGCCGCCCGCGACGTTGTTTTGTTTTTGTTTGTGAAGCCAAAATTTTGCCTAACATGCAATGAGTAGCGCCGCAATAACCTAAAAGCGCCAAAATGCTCACCGAACGAGAACAGCAGGGTCTGAGTAAGATCATCGGCGCTCTGGAACTCGCGGACGTGATCGCATTGGCGCAGACTGTCACATGCAAGCAAGTCAAGCTGACAGAAAGATCAGGTGAATTTACTCGTATGCAACGAATTGGTACCTTTGTGTGTGTTTGGGGGTCGCTTATCAGGTGTGTACTTATGCCTTACCTCTTTGCTCGTGCGGGGTATTCTGTCGAAAGGTGCCTCCCGCCAATGGAATGGCGATGCGTGAAAGCGTAGCCTTGCGAAATTCCTTTGCGTCCTGTAAAAGTAAATATGCTGCATTGGAACCGATTCTGTGATTATACGAATCACTGTATGCTTAGTTGTTTTGATATAATCACGCATCGCAAAATTCTGCTGCTTTCGGAGCGTTTGTTTGCTTGGTCGACCTGGGCGCGCTTTTTCCACAATTTCATTGTTATGCAAAGAAGTTGCATTCAGAAATACTCTCGGTTCTGACTACTCACTTGTAAACGGTGCACTAAACCTTCAATGCCGTTTTAATCACCAAGGGAACGTAACGCTGTGTTCACTGCAATGCATGGTTTCTGTTAATCAGTAAAGCTGAACTTGTCCTGTCTCTTTCTCACGAAGCCAAACTGTCTTTTCCACGTTTATCCAAGTACGCACGCCAAATGCGCAAACATTATGCTTCGACCAAATTGAGTGGGCATTTCGTGCGCCCCCCTAAGCTACTTGCTCAATCTTTCTGGTAGTAAGGAGTTGTCGCTTGTTGCCGAGTCAGCTCAGTAAGTAATGCCCATCTAAAGCATGAATGCTTAAAAGACACGTGACGCCCAGTGTCATTCATATTTGACAATATCCATGGCAGGCGGTATGAAAATCTGGGCCAACTGCATAAATAAGAAGCCAGTCTTAAGTCATGCTGACCTTATGTATGATCAAAATGTGGCTGAAAGTGTGTGTTAATTCACAGCACTTGAACGTTCTGCCATCTCCCATGCCACTGCACTCTGCGTTCACAGCTTTCCTTTATTTTCACCTCTGTCATTACGCAAAGTGTTTATTTAAAGAATACCTTTAATTGGGACATTGCCATATTTAATGTAGCGCTTTCTGATTCAACACTTAGTAGCAATTTTAACCTTTTCACAATACAGAAGCCGAGAGAGCCATCCTCAGTGGTACGCAGAATCCAGCCGATCTTCTACGCCGCAAAAAGATTCTGCGGGAACTGCTGTTTCGCTATCTTTGGAGTGAAAGCGTCTTTGTGGCGCCTGCACTTGCCAAGTCTGATCTCATCAATGCCTGCCTAGAGCACTGGCAAGAAGATAATGTAAGTGAAGTTCTACTGCAGTGATGATTCCTTTGGCATCTCCCTTTTTTTCGTCTTGATTTGCAGCTTCACTGTTTGACATTACAGCGGTCAGCGCCTGTACATGCATAGTTGTTTTTATGTCAGTGTCTGAGCTGTAGTTGCAGTGCAATGCCGTAGCAATGATCCAGAATGATATATATTTTTTTATTTTATTCATACTGTCAGCACATAAGCCAAGACAGCAGTTGGGGTTACATAACTCTCATCAGTTCATGTTGTGTGCAAGGCGAATACCTAGGTATTCGAAATCTTTAGCTTCAGTTAGCAGTGCGCCTTTAATGCTGTACGGAAAAGATAGCGGGCTTTTTTTACGTGTCATGCGCATGAGAAGGGTTTTGGATGCATTCAGTTTTATTTACAACTCATCACACCAAGAACTAATTTTTTGTAGGTGGTTATTAAGTACCAGTTGGTCGTTAGAGAAGAAAATTTTTGCATACACGATTGTATCATCTGCATAATGTTTTATAGCTACTTGCTGTAAAAAACCTTCACCCATGTCACTAATGTAGATAGAAAAATGTAAAGGGTCTATAACGGACTTTTGCGGCACACCTGATCGGACTGGTTTATTGGCATAATTTCAAGAAATTGTTGTCTGTTGGACAAATACACCTCTATCCATTTTAGTAGTTGACTGTCACCAAGGAAACAAGATAATTTCATAAGCAACTTCCTATGTGATATTTTGTAAAATGTTTTTCGAAAATTGATAAATATGATGTCAATTCGACCCTTTTCATTAATACACTGACCAATTTTGTGTGTAAGCTCTGTAAGAATCGTAATAGTAGAGTATCCTCACCAAAACCCATGCTGACTTTTACCTAATATGCCATTTTCTTCAACAAACTTCATTACGTGAGTAGTCAAAATGTGCTTCAGAGTTTTACAACAAGTACTTGCCAAAGAAATTGGTCAGTAGTTTGCGACATTATTTTCGGAACCCTGTTTGTGAATTGGTATTACCTTGCCACACCACCAATTTGTCGGAACGTCACCGGAGTGAAGCGACTTTGTAAATATGTCCGAAAGAAAAAATGAACACCACTCGGCATATTGCCTTAAGAAGGCGTTGGGAATTGGATTGGGCCCTGGGCATTTTTTCACATCTATTTTAAGGAGCAGATTCAGAATGCCTTCTTGTGTTATAGTTAGCTCAGCTAGACATTGTTTACAAGAAAATCGTACTTGTGGGGTTGAGCCATCGTCCCAAATGAAAACTGATTCAAAATATTCAATAAAGTGACTAGCAATTTCATAATTATCCGTCATAGTTACGTTAGTGTTCTTCAAAAATTGAATGCTAAATTTCAGTCTTGAAAGGTACCTCCAAAATTTTCCCGATGATGTTTTAATGATACTGGTAAGTGTTTCATTCATGGTACCTGTGTTTCGCCTCAAGAATTTCTATTCTGAGTTCCCTAGAAAGAGAATCGACGTAATGGCGTGTGTTTAGAGACAAAGGTCTTTTAGCCCTCATTATTTTCAAAAGTCATTTTTTATGAATTATTTTTCAGGTCGTCCATGGGTTTTGTCTATTAACTTTCTTAAGGCACTTCGTAACAAACAGTTCTATTGATTTCGAAACAGTGCCTTTAAACATATTTCATGCATCATTTGCTGATTAGTATTCAGTGAGATATACTGGCTGAAAGCATCGTATCTCTGCTCTAAATAGTCTATTAATCTAGTATCATCTGTTCTAGAAAAATCGAAGACTGATGTGGTTTCATTCTGTTTTGCCTGAGAGGTACGTGTGGTAGCTACATGTGTGATCACCATTTTGTGGTCAGATATGCCTTCCAATACTTCACACCGATAATTGGATTGCACGATAGGCCTGCTTAAAAAGACCAAATCAAGCAATGAATCTCCAGATTCATGGGTTCGCGTAAGTATAGTGACAATCTGTGTTAAATCAAGCGAGAAAGTCAGATCCAGTAAGACTCAGGACACAGCTTGTTCATTTTGACCTTCTCTAAAATTGACCCAATCAATATGCAGTGAATTAAAGTCTCCCGCCATTATAATCTTGTATTTGCAAGGGTTAAACATGTCAATTAAAAATTGTTATACGGTATCATATATTCTTTGGACGTACCCAGTCGGCGATACACAGCAATAATTACAAAAGACAGGCTATCCATTTTCATTGTGCAGGCAAGACATTCCAATTCCAACGGGGTAAATATTTCAGTACAATGAATTGAAGTTTTATTGACAATGGCGACACCTCCTTCCCTGGATCCTCGGTCTTTATGACAGGCTAAATAATTCGGAGGCAGGAATTCGGTATTCTCAATTGATTCGCTTAACCAGATTTTTGTCACTACTATAAAATCTGGTTCATGTTCGAAAAGCACAGCTTCAAAAAGTGATGACTTGTTACAAATGCTGTGTGCATCAGTATTGATAACTGTTAGCTTGTCAGGAAAAATTTCCTCTGCTGTCTGAGGCCGTGCCTTTCTCATAAGGGCAAGCATTTCGGCACTCTTTACGGCAATCAAAGGAATCGTCCCAGTAATATTTCTTGCCGTCGACGTACAGCTTATCATAAACCAGGCGCACCCGTTTTCCACTTGACTTCTCTTCTTTTGCACTTTCAGAAAGGCTCTTTCTACGACGTAGCCCGTGCTTTGAAAAGTCATCACTGATTGAGACGTCGTGCATATCCTTTAATTTGTAACAGTTTCGCATAATTTCCTGTTTTTCATTGAAGTCCTATAATCGAAAAATAACCGGTCGCGCCCTTGACTGTCTCTTTCCTATTCACTATTCAATGCATGTGCTCTACGCTGTTAGGCGAAAAACCGATTACTGAAAAAATATTGTCGGGTACCACTTTGGTCAGGTCTTCTTGCGTTTCCTTATCTTGCTCATGCAGGCCGAAAATTAGAAGATTATTGCGGCGCTGCCAATTTTCCATTTGGTCAACCTTTCTAGATAGCGCCGGAACAACCTCGTTTACTTTGGTTGCTATTTGGTGTGCGTCATCAATTTTAGAGAGAGGACTCAAGTTTAGCTAGGCGGTCTTCAGTATTTTTATGGCAGTGCCATTTTCTTTTACTTCCTTTTGGACTGCTCTCTGGTTTCATTTAATATCAGCTAACGACTTCGAGCGCTCTTTCAAAGTTTGTAAAATCTACTCAAGTTTGTCATCTGAAGTCGAGATTGGGGTTGGATTTAACTCGATATCGCCACCTGTGACCAGCCTGAGAAATACAGACCAACAATCACGAACAATCAGTGCAAAAGTGTGGGGACACGGCACGACTATTTATTAGTGACATAATCGCTTCTAACTGACGAAGTATCGTGCCTCACCTGCAAACAGGCAAATACGAACACGTTGGAGACCGTGCTTGCATTTGTGCGGTGCCCGCAACTGAGTCGGTGGGCGTCCGCCGGGCCAGTCAAGTAGGCAGCGGTCCATAGCGTGGTTGTCGATGATTGGAAGATGCTTCCGAAGCAGGCGTCTTTGCTACACATGGCCAGAAGCGATGTCGACAACAGATGCAGATACCTTGAAAACGGAAGCTGATGCTGTTCCGTCTTGTTGAATGCGGCGGTTGAACTTGAATTCGCAGCAGTGAGCATAAATGGGACCTGCAAACAGGCAAATACGAACACTGAGATCATGCTTGCATTCGTGCCGTGCCCACAACTGCATAGATCTGCATAGATTAGGTCTGCATATATTATTGGCTCTCAACAACCTCCTCTCTAGGTTTCCGTATATAAATATTTTAGCATATTTCACCACACAACGAGGATTACAGCGTATGGGAGAGAACTCGAACTAAGGTTGGGCTGTATCTCTGCTCAGATCCAGGGTAGTGTGGCCATGTCACTGCCGCACTGTAGCTTACTAGCGCAGCTGAGCCACCCTCGCCGGTCTTTTAGTACTGATGAAGTACTCTCATATCCCCTGCAGTAAGGGGAATAGGGTGCAGCTGTGTTAGCAAACAGCCAAAAATAAATATCAATTGTCAGTTGTTCCTCAAGACACATGCCTCACTTGTCTTTCTGCTTCAGCCCTTTTGACACACTTGACAATAGTAGCATGAAGGCAGTGGCCGGCATTCAGTTCTTTGCTGAAACTTGGCTTGAAATTCTGTTTTTATTTAAGGGCCTCCTTTCACCCACGGTTCATGCAATTGGGCTTCAAGGGTATAGATGGACATCAATAACTTAACTCTCACGAAGGATTGTGGGCTAAAGTGCCTATCTGCATCAGCTTCCGATTCGAGAGTATGCACCGCCGTATGGGCACCCTTAACTATGCTGTTGCTTTCTCTTGTGTTCTACCTAGCGGTCACGGCGATATTTTTCTTGCAAATAAGGGCGTAACATATTGAAAAGCTATGCAGCTTGTTTGAATGAAAGATGGAATCTGTACTGGACACCTATAAACAGTGGGAGTGGCAATAACTTCAGTCAAATGGCATAGAACGGGCGCATGTATGTTGTTCTGCAGCGGACAATGTTCTGGGTGCATTTTCGGCTGTGTAAAGATTCATTGCACTTCCTAGAGGTATGAATGAAAGAAGCAAATTTTAGAGGACCATTTCTCCGTTTGACACAACTTTAATGTAAACAAGCAGATGATGAAACCAAGAAAAGTATAGTGAATGTTAATTTTACAGGGGGCTTTAAGTGTATTGTAATCTTTGTGATGAAGATGCGAAGAAAGTTAAGTGGGTGAAAAGACAACTTGCCGGTGGCAGGGGTGAAATCTGTGACCTTTGCATATATTTATTCACTGTAAAACTTGTACTTCTTTTTACATTTCAGACTGTTGAAGTTATCTGTTTACTTTAATTGTGTCATAAGTAATACCATCTCGGGTGAATTTGGTGAATGGAATAGTAAAACACTTCTCACTTTAAAAGTGACAAACTCTGGCAGCTTTCTGAATTTTATTTGAGACTCTGAATCTTTTTTTTTTTACCCAAGAGTTCTTGCTTTCAGATCGTAGACGTTTGTGTTTGAAAGCATCTGAATTTCTGCAATCTGCACTTACATTTTCTTTCAAGTTCAACTTAATGTACCGGCATTTCACGCTTACAAATCTCTAAAATAGTAAAGACGCCGCATTACGTCACCCGTCGCTTCAAAAGCAACATCGATCTTTTTAAATCCTAGTCGTTACTAATAACTGAGGTGCTGTTTTGTTCCATTACCTGGCCTTTTCCATGCTCAGAATTTCCATACACTTGACTTAAATTTAAGTATACTGAATCAAATGGCAGGGCACCTGTACTGTTCTCGGACCTCCTGAAGCGATTTGGAAATGTATATCGAGATTAGGCACCGCATATTTATGTTTCCGGTTTTGAGGTAGCTGTTGTTTTGCCTCAAAAAAGGCATAATCGCATTTATTCGGTAAAATATTACTGTGTGTATTAAAGTATAACTGTATACGTTACATGGTTGTCGTTGCTCTCTGGACCTACCCGTCACAGTTCCTCATGTTTCGTTCACACCAACGGTCTTCTTCTATGTCCTGTTTCATTCAATGAAACGCGGAATATTTGCTATAGAATCACAAGTGAATGCTAAAAGACAGTCAGTACACAACGAATAACAGCTGCGTCGTAGAAGGTACTTGTTTTTTCCCTGATTACACTAAACACCAGTCACTTTGAAGCACAAAAGAGCTGAGTTTTATACCAGAACTGCTGTCGTGGATGATGCGCTGTTTTGCTGTCTACTTGCTGAAGGCACATACAGGCTGAATAAATGAATGAATTTTGTATAGACTGGGTGTCATCGTGTTACTAGAATGTCATCAAGAGCTCATATCTTTTGAAAGTGGCTCTTGTTTTAATTGGGGGCACCTCTTAGAACTTAACGGCTGCAGTAGGACATGCAATTGCATTGTGAGGGTGCCGCTCAAGATGCAACACTGCAAAATGCAGCTGGCAGTCGTGCCAAGGCAAGTATAGGGGACATCATTTGAAGTAATAACGCCATAAATATGAGAAACGTATTCTGCATGAAAAAAAAAGGGGGCGGGGGGGGCGATAAGGTAGACAAAAGATTGACCGCCACCAAAGCTCAATTCATAGAGCATTGGACACGTTATTTTATTTGAAGGTTGCAGGTTTGGTTCTTGTTGGCTTGGTTGTCTGTTGGCTATCATTAGGGTTTGCTCTAACAAAGTAAAACAAGTCCTTAAAATTCCCTTTATTTCATTCGCTGGAAAATGCAGGCACTCAAGTCTGGCCAGTTTCCAGCAAACGGCACCAATAAGACGGAAAGACATCGGAGGCCAGCTTCCAAGAGAAACTGGGCACCGAGTTCACCAACTGGTTCTTTGCACAGCTTAACTCTGAAGGAGAAAAGCTGGGACACCAGCACTTCTTTCCGAACTGCCAGCTCAGAGTGAGTGTTTTTGCTTTTCAGGTTTCATTTTGAAAGTTGTCTCTAGCTTCTGGGCTGCTATATTGAAGGGAAACGTTCTGTTGGGTTCTATGCTTTTCTTGTGATTCACCATTCACGGCCCACTCATCTCGTTTGATAACATGGGTACGTGTCACTTGGGCCTCTTCCGAAGTGCATAAACATAGGAAGGCATCTGTGGATGTTATCGGAATAAAATTATTCTTACTGATTTACTTAGGCGCTGGAAACCAAGATTCATTGCACTTTACTTAAAGCTGTTGAAGGCCTCATTCTCTGATGCACTGTCAGAAATTTCAGTCACCTTAGTCGCTGTGTGACTGATTATCATCGGCCTCTAAGTATTTCCACTGCTTTAACAAAATTTTATTGTATTCACAATGCTGCAGTACATTGTTATTGTCCTAATAATGAATATGTACTGAAAGTTTATGCCAGTGCTCATGGTTTTATCTATATATGAAACTCCAACAAAATTTAGGACAAAAGCATATTCTACACTATAAATAATAATATAGCATATTCATAGTGTTTTGCACAGTAGAGTAAACAAGAATTAACAGTAATAATTAAGGCAAACCTTATTTTCACGGGTTCCACAGTACTAATAGAACTAAACATACGAACAAGTGCAATCATTCAGTTCATGAAGCAGTGAAATTTCTCATTCTGACTCATAACAGGCTGAGAATTCTAGTAGCTGATAAGTAGGGACGCTTTGTTGTCTTAAAAAAGTGATTGCTTGGTAATTAAGGCCAGTGTCTTGAAAAGGTCACCAGTGAAAGAAAAAGCTGAGCAGATAAAGAAAAAATTGTTACTATGGTAAGTCTTTGAGGTCCAAAGTATGCCATTTACTAAAAGCCATATCAATCAATCAAAGATATAAAGTAGCATCAACATTTGTGTAGAGCACGCAAACAGCGGGTTTTTGTAGGTTTTCGCTCTGCGGGGCCACACCTTGTGGCAGTTTCGGCCTCTGACATGGGCGGCATGACTATTAGGCTGTGCATGCTCTGCACACCTTATATCAGAGCCTGAAACCGCTGCAAGGTGTCGCCCCACAGAGCAAAAACTGGCTGCTTACTCACTCTATACAGACGTGGGTGCAGCTGTTAATGTGCGTCACTGGCTGTATGTTAATAATGCCTGCCTTTTTCAGTCATTTCTCGTGCTTGGCATGTGCTGTCACACTGGCAAATATGTAGAATTTTTTTCTTGTGCCTTTGTCACTTCCATTTTTTTTCCCCTCTCTATTCAATGGTTTACTAGAGTGGTGCACTGCTGTGGTAAAGCATAAAAAAGGAACAGAGACATGTATGCCCTCAGTGTGGCAGCACATATCAAGTGAGAGCAGTGATCGAAAACGTACATGCTTCTTAAACAAACAAGTGATGACATGCTACATGAATGCCGTTCCCCCTAAAAGAGTTATAGGAAGAGTACTGCTAAAAAGAATTTTTTTTTTTCAATCACTATTTAAAAAACCTAGCACAGTTAAAAACCTCGTTAGCTTGAGTAAGCAACTGTTAATTTTTGAAGATATTTGTATAGCTCTAGTCAAGTTTCAGTTATAGAAGCCCTGAAAGAAATGAGGCAAAATTTTTTGTAGCTGGCTATGTGACCACACAAAAGAGCGACTTGTGTGACAACAGCCACATGTGCATCTGTGTACCGTGTTGACTACTGTGGCTGAGAGCACCCGCAAAGATGATGGTAGCCAATACAAATTTGGGATGTAGGCGCTTATTGGTTGGTTACCTTGAAAATAATTTGATATTAAAGTCTCGAGGTGCTCTGCTCTGTGCTTACTTTCGCAGCATACACATTAAAATTTATTTTCAATATGTTCAATATAAGCCATTGATATTTTGCATATTGTAGCAGTGCTGAGACAGACAGGCTAAAAAAACAAGCGTCTTTATAAGGGCGAACTTCTGCCCACGAGTCTAATGACTATGGTCGTCGAGTACGAGTAGCCGAGTTGCACCGATTCAACTATCTTCCTCTTCCTCTTAGCCCGAGCGCATGAACGCGTGGCGCATGCCAGCCAGGTCTTGCTGGCGCTCGTGCCATGATGATTGCGGCGGGCTACATGAACGTGGCCAACCTGTCGCGGCAATATGATGTAGTACGTCCAAAATGCCCGAATCTGTCTTGGAAGTTATCTCACTTTCCAAATTTTGGGCTAGTACTTTGAGCATGCTTATCAGGAGAAGCCCAATTGTCCTATTTTTTTATAGCATATATAAACACTCAATTTTAACCATGATATATGCTTTTAGCTCGTGTTGGCAGCTTTCAAGTGATCTTCAGCTAATAGCCAGAGCCATCATTCGAACACTCGATCGAGAACATCCTGGCAACATTGTGAAAACGGAACAAGATCATCCAGTCAGTCGACGAAAAGTGAAGAAAATTTGTTATCTGGCTTCAAACCCTTTATGTAGGGCCACATTACATACACTAGTTACTGCCATAGGTCGGCGAACTCACTCATGAGTCGAGCGACTAGGGCTCACTCAGATCGAGCCGTGAGTACGAGTCTGAATGAGTCCGGCTGAAGGAAATTTTTGTGAGTGTGAATCCGAGTTAGTTGGGCTCAGAAAAATTTTGGTGAGTCTGAGAGAGAGTGAGTACAGAGTGCAAGATATATTTCTTGAGTGATTTTGAGTGAGTTCTGCTTTCCTTTGCCGACCTAAGGTCCTATCTAGTCGTCTACAGCATTACTATCAGCCTTACCTAAATCTCAGGTATTTCAAAGCAGTGTCATTCTACTCCGTCTCAATATTTATTAATTATAGGTGCTGAATACATAAGGGGTGCATTGACTTCCCCCATGAACTCTTTCAGGGAATTTCTTGGTTACTATATCATATGATGCTGTAATCTCTTCCAGGAAAAATGACCTTACACGTTTCGAAGCACTCAGAACTCGTTTTCAAAGATACTAAGTCAAACAGCACCAAGATGAGCACCGGTTACATGAAATATTGGCGTTAAAGAGCTTTCACACCATGGTCAAAGAAGCCAATTCGAGGCTGACAGACTCATGAGCTTTTTCACTTGGACTCATGTAGACTCGGGTCGAGCCCCGGGAGTCCGAGTCTGAGTGAGTACAGGTGATTAATGTTTTGGTGAGTGTGAGCCCAAGTGAGTCCGGCTGGAAAAAATTTCTGTGAGAGTCCGAGTGAGCTGGCTCAGGAAAATTTTCCCGAGTCTGAGTGAGCTCAACAAGTTTTGCCGACCTATGTATGTCAGTATGTTACTAATGAGACAGATAGCTTGTGGGGTCTTGAATTGGTGTCACCACCACCACGCTCTTGGATGAACGGACACAGCAGACACGGTCGGAACAAACCAAACAATACACATTTATTTAACTACATTTTGATTGACGATATCGTCAGCTGAATTATTGTAACATAAATCGTGATCAACACGCTAAGACATCCTTACACAGTATTACTCAACACGTAGCAACATAACAAACGCAGTAGGGTTGACAGGCGGCTAGTTGGTACAAATTCATAATGGAATAATTGGAAGCGCAAACCAACGGGACACAAGAGAAGAGACAAACAAACTGCGCTTGTTTGTCTTTTCTCTTGTGTCCCATTGGTTTGCACTTCCAATTATTCCAATAGCAAACGCAAAAGCACAAAAAAGGCGGCGTTGCCAACTCCTGACTCAGTGCACATGGTACCCCTGGCAGACAGCCCGCGGTACCATGTGCCGGAGACACGCTGCGAGAGCAATCGTTCATGCCAAACGCCACCAGCTCTACTAACCATGATAATGATTGTGGTGATCACCGCTCGCGAACACGCCACCTATCGCTCAATAGTTGTCACCACCCCCGAAATACGGCTTCTGTGTGAGACACACACGTGTCTTGCACAGAAGCCGTTGTTTGCAGACACACACGTGTCTGCAAACAACTTTTGCAGGGGGTGTCAGCATCCCCTTATTCTCCCAACATTAATCCAAACCATATCGTGAAAAAAAATGCGCTACACAAGCTCTAACAAAACATGACAACCCATATCCCTACATAACGTCTGTGCAACAAGACACCGCTGCCGGTCGACACTGCTGCACTGTCCGGCTCAACGACTTCACCTCAGTATCGGTCGCGCAACAGCAACGTTGCCGTCGGCGCTACGAACCGTTACTTGTGCCGACACGTTTTTCAGTTGCGACCAGCACTCCCGAACGCGCCAGACTGCAGGCAGTTGCGCAGGTCCTAGGCATGTCCATTGCCCGGTCTCACGGCCGCATTCCTGGCCAGCGGCGCTGACGATGTGCAGAAGACAGCGAGCCACGGGTAGCATCATTCCCGCTGCGTACATTTAATACACTCGAAAGAACAATGCAGTAGGCCAAAGGGAAGAAAGCTTCGGGCTCCTCGCCCACATGGTACGATGGTCAGTACTGCTAGCTAATGCATCAGTGGCGGCCATAAAAATAAAACAAAAATCACTTTTCTTAACTCGTGCATCACAAGAAAAAAAAAGAAGGTGAAGGAAGCAAAGTGCAACACCTTCAGACCACGATCCACCTAGTTGTGCCATGTGCGACGGGAGTCCGAGTCTGAGTGAGTGAGTAACGGCGCAAACACGTGCGACGGGCGGCTGCGCAGATCCTTAGGCCTTATGAGTCGTTCAACAATAACCGGCGTCCACCCAGCACCCAGCCTAGGTGCAGAAGAGGCAGCCACAAAGAGACATCCACTCTGTAAGGTGGCCCCATCGTTGGCCGCACACAGCAGCTTACCGAGTGATCGGCGTTCACTGTCCCAGACGGTGACGCCCGGTGTCAAGCCGCAATACCAGGCAGCAACGACGCCCGACTCCCTAAGTCCAAAGAGATAGAAGAAGTTATTTACAGAAAATCGGACCACCCATCAGGCTTCCGTACTCACTTGCTTCGGGCTTGTCCTACAATCCACGTGATCTAAGTCTTGCTCACCCCAGGATGCAGAC